CGTCCACCACGGCCTGCCCGGCCCCGGCGGCGTGTTACACACCTGTGTCGCGGGGGAGACGGGAAAGGGGGGGGGGGGCTGCTGCCCCGCGCCCCGCGTCGCTTGATGAGGATTCTTTATCTCCCAACGATTCTGTGCGCGGCTGAATGCCGAGGAGGGAATTAACGAACGGCGGGTGGCGGCGCTATCTCCCTTTGGCGGGGCGCCGTGCGGTGGGGGGTGGGGGGCGGCGGGACCCTTGAGCGGCGCCTATTTGCCAGAGGCGCCACTCCGCGCCGTGAGATGGCCTTGTGTTTGGGATTAGATACCAGGGGGGAGTAGGAAAGGGGGGGGGACACAAAAGTTCGTTGCCGCGTGCCACGGTTTCGCGCGTCCTTGAGGTCGCGGTGACATTGGCTCTGACTGCTCCCCTGTGGTGGTCGTGCACTGTAGCATTTGACTTTATTTCTTGGGGTGCACCAGGTGGCGGATGCGCACCCAAGCACTTTCGTAGAGCAGTTAGAGACAACGGGAAAACGTACGAGCGGTACGAATGTGCCGACGGGGCGAATCGACCACCTCTTTTATTGCTCTCCTGACGTACACGTACACATGACATTACTGCTCTGACGTTCGTTGCATATGACTTATGACTTGTCCCGGTCCGGCGCAGCGTATGCACTCGACTGTCTGTCCTTTTCACCCACTTCCCTTGGGATCGTGCAGAAATTACTTATTGTTCGTTCGTTTTCTTCAGATTAGTTTTTCAAATTTTCGGGAGCTCGGCGCCTGCGAGACCTGGAGTAGGCCTCCCCGCAGCACACTTATGAACTGCAGTGACGACTTTGCCTATCTATCAGGCGCTAAGAGAGCTTGCTTGGGCTGCTGAACCTGCAGGTGCCATGGCAGCAGGTTCGCAACGACGCATTGCGGACGTACTTTCTTGATGAGCTTCCAAGAGATGTCCCGGACGCCGCCGTGCTCGTGTCGTCCTGCCCGCTGAGCCGCGCCGCCGGCCGGTGCGCCGCGCCCCACCCGGCCGGGCCGGGCCCTGCTCTACCCTACTCCAGCCGCGCGCGCTCCTCGGAGCGGCTCAGCGCGCCCCGGCTTGGGGAGGGCTTTGCTGCCTGCCGCTCTCCCTCTCTCTACGCCCCTCTATCGATTTTCGGTCGAGTGGTGTGGCGGGGCGGGGTGAGGGGGTGAGGCGGGGCGCGGCGCGGCGAGGTGGTCGCGTCTCCCGCTGGAGGCGTGGTGGGGGTGGTGCGGGTGCGGGCGGACTTGCGGCGGGGTGCGCGCCCTACTCGTGCTGCCCGAGGGGGTAGTGCCCCTTTGCCGTACGCCCCAATGGGGGTCACGCCGGGGCGGGTGGTGGGGGGGCTGCGGGGGCCGCCCCGGGCAGACGCCGCCGCTGCTTCCGGTACCGGCCGGGGCCGGGCCGGAGCCGGAGGCACCAGCAGGGGTGGGTGAACAGTGAGAAATATCTGTGAAAAGTCACAGTATTACTCCTGATCGTGTAGTTTTCGATGGGAATTTGATTTTTAAAATCTACGGTCGCTTTACGAATAATAAAAATTCGTGAGTGATACATATAGTGTTGGCAGAATTTTTGTACTTTCATATTTTGAAATCTTAACCACGTTATTTTTCCTTACATATAAGTTTCCTGCAAAAACTCATTGAAATAATTTTTCACAGTGTGTTGGTGTGTGTGAGCACGACCCGTATGAGCCGCGCGCGCTGCATGCGATATGGTTCGCCACAAATTGACAACCCGCTGCTGCTGCTGCGACTGACGGGCCTGCGACTGACGGGCGCGGAGGCTCGTGGGCGGAGCGGAGGGCACCCTTGTGCTGCGCTTGCGACCCCCTCGCGTGCCAGCCGCGGCCGCGGGGCTCACGCTCACGAGCCGGGGGGAGATGCCCGACATGTGAGCCTCGCATGAGTTGCGATGGCAAGGCACGGCACGCTTTGGTGCCGTCCAAGGAGATTATTTGAAACACCCGAGCGAGGTGCACGATGGCGACATGCTGTGCGCGATGTCTCTCAAACGGCATGCAGCTCCGCTTTTTTGGAGCACGGCGGCGGGAGTGCGCCGTCAAAGTTTGTAACGTGGCGGCTGACATGTAAAATCGTGCTCAGGACCCGGAAGCTACCCGGACTTCTTTCCCTTTGCCGCGTTGTTGTGGTTATCGCGCTAGAGTACAGAGGATAAGGCATTTCGGATCTCAACCGCTGGGTACATAGCTGTGCGTGCAGAGTGGTTGCGAGCGCCGCGGGCCGGCACTGGGGCACCGGCACCGTGCCCTGCTGCTGGGCGCTGCATGGGCGCCTGGGTCTGGGCACCCACCAGACGGCTCTTGACCCAGAGAGATGGTGGCCGGATACTGCACCGAGCTGTGCGCCCCGCGCCGCCCCGACGCACAACAGCAGACATTACCATTCGCGAAACATGAGTTTGCAAATGTATTCGTTTGGCGTCCCTCCAAGACTTGGTGCTGCGAACGTCCCACCCCGCCCCGCCCCACCCCGCCCCGCGCGCTGACACACGGGCAGATGGCGTCCCGCCGCACCGCCACGCCCCCCTCGACAACGAGACTCCCGAAAAGCAGCAGCATTTGCTTTACATTATTTTCTGCTCTTGCGCACCACTGCTTTGCGCGCGCTCTTGCTGTTAGCGGCAAGAAACTAATTTCAGATTCCCTTTTTCGGGCGGTTGCTTGCTGCTGATTTGGCCCGGCGCGCGCGCGCGCGCTTTTCTTTTTTCGTTTAGCGTCGCGCGATGCGCAATCTCTATTTCTATTTTTCTCTTTTTGCGGTGGGACCGTGTCGTGGCGTCCCGTCCTGCCTGTGAGGCTGTCGTGGGAGAGCCTGCGGCTCTGCGTGGCACTGGCACGCTGTCGTTGCATAACTCGCCCCCCGGCCGGGCGGGACCGTGAGGTAGTATGGCGTGCCCAGCCCTGACCACCTCTATTTTCGCATCTGACTGTGCCGTGTGCCGTCCAGCACCAGCACCAGCAGCAACGGTTCGGAGCAGGTCCCTGCTCCTGGATGACGTAACAACGGGAGCTACTCTCGCCGTCACCAACGCTGCACTGCTCCTCTTTCCTTTTCCCACGCCGTCTCCACATGGAGCCTGAAGCTCGATGTTGGAGCGTGGGCGTGGCGTGTATTCCTGCGGGCGCTGCTCGTCGCGCAGGGCGCCTTCCTTGTAGGGCCGCCCCGCCCCGGCCGGTCCGGCTGCTGGCGCGGCTCCAGGAGACGGTGCGGTTCCGAGCCAACTATCGTGCACATGCACCGCGCGCCCGCGGCGCTCCGCAGGACCTTTCTTACAATCCGCGCCCCCACCCCATACAGCTCGTCCTCACGACTTGCCTATATCTCGCGCGCTATGGCTGTATACGCATCATCGCGCTTTTGCTCTCGAAAGAAACCGAAGTGTAGTGACTCGGTTTTCGTTCTCCCACGGCCTCGTTCAAGTAAGCCCTCTGCTTGTACCTATATATACTCTACTCTATGGGCCGGGGCCTTGGGCAGATGCCTGTAGTTGGTGCCGTTCCGTTCAAGGATTGGCGGCGTGGCCTTCTGATCCTCATCCCCATCCCTATCCCCGTCCCTATCCCCATCCCTATCCCCATCTCCAGCCCCATCCTCCTCCCTATCCTCATCCCCATCCCTATCCCTATCCTCATCCTCATCCCTATCTTTATCCCCATCCCTATCCTCATCCCCATCCTCATCCTTATCCCCATCCCTATCCTTATCCCCATCCCTATCCTTATCCCCATCCCTATCCTCATTCCCATTCCCATCCCCATCCTCATCCTCCAGGAGGACTCGGACGCGACTCTGGCCGCGGCGCGGCTCATTATCGCGCTCGCTGGGCCGGCTGAGCATTCCAATCCCTGCGACTCACCCGACCCCGCTCGGCGCGGCGGCGGTGGCGGCAGCGCGGCACTTCGCGGCCACCACGCCGACACACTCGCAAAACAAATGCTATACTGTCAGCATTTATTTTACTTTTGCACTTAATCCGATTTCCAAAGTAAAAATTTGTAGGCCTACTAAAAAATACAACATTAAAATATGATGCTTCTGACAATGCAAAATGTCTAAAACTGTCCATCGGTTCAGAGCGAATAAATCAGTCCAGATAGAGTCAGTGTTTGTTTTCCCGGAGTGCGGTGCTGAACCCCACCACGGCCGCGCCCCACCCCGCCCCGCCACTCCCTGGGCATAATGAGCCGGTAGCTGGCGCCGGCGCCACTCCACGCGGGAGCAGCTAGGCGCGGGGGGCACTGACACGGCGCGCGTCGTTGCCTAACCCGCCTCGCTGCCGCCGAGGTAGACCAGAACGCCTCTGCAACCGGCAGAAAAGTGCCGTCGAGACACGACGCGTTTATCATCCACACAGCGTCGTTTAAAGCAGCGTCGACGAGCCAGGCGATCGGCGGAGCGGCGTCCAGCAGCCGAGCCGACTATGATGTACTATAATTCTAGAATGCGGCTCGAAATTCCGCAACCGTAATTAAAGTTGCGCGTTGTACTGTGTGATGACTGACGCGTGCGTGCCGCGCGGCAGCGTGTGCCAATCGTCGCTTTGATCAATGGACGTGTCCGTCATTCTTCGTTTACGGGCCTGCCATAGGTTTAGCATCTGCGAGCTCCTATAGCGCCTTGTGGGTAGGCAATATCTTGTCTGGGGTGCATGCGTGTACTGCGGGGTGGCCTACCCCGAGCTTCGCAGGCGCCGAGCTCCCCTTATTATGGAGTCTGAGAAAAAAATTGACGATACCTGACGGCCCGAGCCGGTAGGCAATTCGCACACACGCGTGCATGGTGGTACAGTCTGACTAAGGAAGTGGGTTGGGGTGGGGCGAACCAGCAGCCTACCATACTGAGAAATAAACGCGCATTTGGTTGCTACTTGTAAATGATAAAATAAAACGAAAGATGTCTGCGAATTATGTTTTGTTTTTGTTTTTTGTCTGTAATCTAACGGGACTTCCCTCTCTTTTTTTCAGAACTCGGTCGGCCGGCCGGACGACGTGGTGGCGGCGGAGACGCTGGCCAATCACATCCGCTGCAACAACAGCTTCGTGTACGCGCTGTTCCAAGCGCAGTTCCGCTCGTCGCTCACCTGCCCCCAGTGCCGCTGCCAGAGCAACACCTTCGACCCCTTCCTGTGCGTCTCCGTGCCCGTGCCGCAGAACCAGCGCCGGCCCGTGTACGTCACCGTCCTCTACACCTCCCAGCAGCCCAGACAGGTAAAGGCCTCATCCTCGGCCTCATCTCTGCTCATGGAGAACTATAACCGCAAAATCGATTTTGACCCGAGAATGCTTTTGAGTTCTTTAACGACAACGTATGACGCCGATGTGCTTGGACGGCGCTGATGCCACTTTGAAACTTTTGACTTTCAGGTCAAGTTGGGCCTCACCCTGCCACCGCACGCTGACATTCGAGAGCTCCGCGAGGTGCTGGCGTCTGACACCAAGATCGATGAGCAGCACATGCTCATCACTGAGGTGGACGATTTGGGATTCCATCGGACTTTCTCAGGCAAGTATTTTTCTAGCTTTCGATGTTTCTTTCTCTTCGTCATGCTGTGATGGTAGCTTTTAACTTCGAACATACGTCTTATTTCTTTTTAGATTCGGCTCCTCTGAATACAATCAAAGAGAATGACCCTGTGTACTGTCTTGAGTTACCCCAGCTGAAGGAAGCAACTCAAGACACCGGGGAATACCTTCTCTTGGTTTGGGTCAATGCCCTAATGGTAGAAGACCATGGTATTCGGTAAGTCTGACTTTTGTTTTCGTCGGTCTAATTAACTGATAGATTGAGATAAATATTTTAGAACTAAAGTAATAATTCTTTTGAATAAAATATAGGTTTGGCAGCCCATATACCATGCAAGTAGGCCGTGAGACAGCCTATGATGATCTTCAGAAACTGATTCTAAAGGAAATGGCAAACATATTACATGACGACGTCCTGACGGGTGGTCAGCCTGCTTCTCTGTTCCGTATACGAGTGTTAGATGGATTATCAGGATCATACCTCGACCCAGGTGTAGACCATCCTTTGTACGTTGAGGCCATAGACCAGGCCTTGGCCCTTTGTGAGGAAGATGCAGGCCCTCTTCATGTGCGTCTTGTACTTGAGTGGGACTTAGAAACAAAAGAGAGGTATGACACATTTTAACACGTCTTTTAACATCAGCTTCCTTATCTTGTGCTTATGATTATTTATTGTATAATTGTTGATTTCAGTACAATTGCGGACGATTCTGATCCGATGGAAGAGCATGCCAGTGTAAAACAACTACAACAAAGCTCAGAGCAAGGAGGTGCTGTCACTTTAGAAGAATGTTTTCAGGTATTACAAATCTTTCATTTCCATTACATTTCCTTTTTAATTTTCAATAATAATAATTTGTTTCTGCTTTTAAATTTTCAGTTATATACACGAGCTGAAGTTCTTGGAACTGATAATGCTTGGCATTGCCCCTCTTGTAAATCAAAACAGGAGGTTGAAAAACGATTAGGGCTGTGGACATTGCCTGATATTTTGGTAGTTCATTTAAAGCGCTTTCGACAGTCTTCAGCCAAGCAGCGGTCTCCAGCCAAACTGACAACCCTTGTCAATTTCCCCTTGTATGGGTTTGACATGACCCCACATCTTGCTCCTGCTGCCCAAGATGTAAGATTCGTTCTTGTCATTACTTTTATTATTCATGGTAACAATTTTTTCCTGGTGCTTCATTTTGCAATATTGTTTTTTACCAGAACTCTGGAATGCAGACTTTGGGCGGCTTAGGATGGTCTCCGTGGAAGCGTCCTAGAAGGCATCACAGTGGATCTCGCTATGATGACAATGTTTATGATCTCTATGCAGTTTGCAACCATCATGGCCAAGACCTTCAGTTGGGTCACTACACCGGTAAGTGTGTCATTTTTTATACCAAAGTAAAATTGTTTTCAAATGACCTGAATTTTATTTCATTTATTTGACTTTTTGTTTTCTTTTTTCTTTTCAGCATATTGCCGGAATCCTTATGACACTCAGTGGTATCGGTTTGATGATTCAAGAGTGGATACAGTTGCTGAATCAGCACTGGTCACTCCCTCAGCATACATGCTGTTCTACCAACGTCGTGGTCTAGGCGGTTCTACATCTAGCTCAAGTTCAGCTGCATCAAGCTCTAGTGCTGGTTCCACAGATCACTGGGTATATCGGATGCCTAGGCCTGCTCCTCCAGCTAGTCAAAGCAGTGAAGAAATCAGCAAGAAAAGTAAGTTACAAACAGTGAAACAAATACATATATGGTGAAAATACTGTACTACCCCCAGAAGCAAAAGTTGTTACAATTTTATCTAAATTCTCATTTTTGCTTCTTTGCAGGCGGAGAGGTTGAACAAGGGACAAATGAGGAAGATAATGACTCGAAAACAAATTTTCAACGCAATTCTCGTAATTATTCCACTCTCCAACCAAGTTCAAAGCGGTCTATTGCCACAGAAACTGACAGTAGTGAGCTGGATAGGCATTCTGATGATGAGGCTGCTACAGGTGCAAGTTTAGGCTGGGTAAGTGTATAGATTTTATCAGAAAAAGACACTATCTCTCTCTCTATGGCCCAATTATATGTCTAATGAATCATATTTTTGTCTACAGAGTCAGCATGTAAGCAGTGCCAAAACCTCTCCAAAATTAGAAATTAACAAGAATGAAACCTGTTCATTATTAGCTGATGACACTGTCTCCACTATTGAGAAACAAGTTGGTGATTTAAATGAAAGGGACGTGATTTGTAAGAGCCCTGAACCTGATGTAACAGAGTCTCGTGTTTAAAAATTGTGTGTAGTGAAATAGGTATTTTTCACAAATTTGTTGATTTGTTATTGCAGTTATACTTGTGGATTGCAGAATAAAAGTAAATTTGAGGTTCATGGACCTCTGGTTAAACTACTGTTGCAGAGGCCCATTTCTGACTGGTCTCATGACTCTAGTCTTAAACAACACTGTTTTTTGAAACTTCATTTGAATTATTTACACAATGCAGAGTTTATATGTCCCTTATGACAATTGAAAAGTTTGAGATAAGCACATGGAAATGTTTGAAATCACTGAAACATTACAAAGATGCGAAGATACTTGTGTTCTGAATTATTCTTTGGTGTTTAATTGTAATCTTTATTCACTTTGTATGTCCTATTTTATGTCTTTGTACCAGTCTTAAGGATGTTTTTCAATTAAAAAATTTTCTTTAAATTTGGTCGGAATAGGTGTCATTGTTGATTTGATATCTTTATCATATTTTAACATTGTTTTTCTAAAACTTATACTTTTTTGTTGTGATGTATTCTTTCCTTTAATATTTCCATAGTTTTTTATCTTTTACGAATTTAGTCACTAGTGTTAAAACAAAAGCCACACTGGTGACATTTGGGCTGTATGTAACAAGATTACAAAGAAGTGTAACTCTGAGAGTGCCCTAATGATTTTACATTAACATCTGGAGTGAGTTCTACAGTACTCTTAATTGACATTTACAAAAATCACTCCTAAATTCTTGCTCAACAAAGAAAGAGGACGTTTCATTTAAATTTTGTTTTAGATATCTGTTTGACCCTGAATCTACTTTTTTGACGTCTCAAATGTTTGATGTTAAAGAACAAGTTATTGTCAAGTGTTCAACTCTCAAGTTAGTATGGAGAAGAAGACAGTTTTTTCAGATAGTGTTCTTACTCAAGTAGTACTGTATACCAAATTAATGTCTCCATCTTGTTTTAATTTTAAAAGCTTTTTATGTCGTTTTACTACACTTCTCAATTATTGTGTTTGTATATATATTGCAGAGCTTCATAATTCTATTTTCACTTTTTGTTTCAGTTTGAGATATTTATTGTACTATAAAGTAAATTCTATTATTTTTTATTAATTTTATTTTAGAAAAGTATGAGCTGTGAAGACTGGTTCCATTGAGATAGTGTTGGGTGTATGGTGTTTACATGCATCCAATTGGTGTTTGGATATACAGGTAACAAACAGCAGGGTGACTTTTATTTGGTCCATATGTGAAAGGTTGTGACTCAGGCATGTTGAAAGGATAGCATTTAGTAGTACTTAAGAGGTGAATTTTTGTGGAAGGAAACCTGAGATGTACGGATTCTAGTTTATTTTCTTTGGAAATTAGTGTGGGGAGTGCTGCTTATTAAGGGCATCAATTACTGCAAGTTGCAGTGATCACAATCATTCAAGTGACAGCTGTTTGGAACTGTTTGCCTCTTCCCAAAGGGGATGAGATGATGGAAATTTTTAAATTAAAATACAAGAATACTCCTTTAAACATAGTTTGAATTAGTGTTGAACTTGATGTTCTTTCTTCAGAAATTCTCAAATGGTCTCATATTGTTTTGGTTTTGTTTTTTAAAGAAAAAATATACCATAGCTGATTTCTCTGTCTTCCCTCTGTGTATTACATAATGTGCAGTATGCATCATTACATTTCATTGTCATCAGATAAATCATAACATTATGTATGCATGCACATAAATCATTTCTGAGGCTGTGTGTGTGATTAATGTATTGTAAATATTTTAAGACCAAGTTTGTAGTGAGATTACATCTTTGAATATATATTATATATATGTAAAGCTAAGTCTGTAACAAATGCATTGTAAGCTCATGCATTATTCTTTTGGTACCAAACAAAAATCTCAATGTACATGTTCAATAGTTAAATGTAATGATATTTTCATTAAGAAATAAAGACTGTAATCATGTTACTTCTTTTCTTATTTTTGGGGCGTTGTGTAAATCAGTATGCTTTGTTTAAAGGGACATCATTGAGGCACTGGAGGTGTATGCTTAAGCCTCATTTGGACTGGTCTGGCAGCATCGCTCTCCCCTCCTCTGTCCAGTTTTTGTGCTGCCGGGTGAATGGAGGTGTCCTACCCTAGAAGTGAGAGGAGCAAGGAGTAGCCCACAACTCAGAAAAATAATGGAGCAGCCTAATTACCTGTAGCGCCAGGGTCAGACGCAGGGGTGCGGGTCAGCCAGCGAGGCGCTCGTGTGTCGGCGGCCGGTGGCCAAGCTGGGCACAAAGTGGCTCTCCGTGAAGGGAGCTCTGTCGCGGAGCTGTGACCTGCATGGACAAGAATACATTTACCGGTGATCGTGCGGGGGACACATTTGACGAAACATCCTATCGGATCGGCTATAAATTTTGTTGTGACCTCTCAAATTGCGATAGGCAACCATGAACTAACTCACCATGTGCTGGTCGACACAACGGCGTGGACCTTGGGGGTAGGGAGGCCGTTGAAGCCGGTGGCCAGGGCAACAGTGTACGCGCCGTGGTTGTGGTATAACAGCCAGCTGCCCAACTCCAGCGGCGGCAGCAGATTGCCATCCTCCACCTTGTCCGTGCCGTCGCACGTCGGGCCCCACACCGAACTAGGCACCGCGTCGCACGACTCGCCGTGGGCCTAGGGGAGTCGGGCAGGGCGCGCGAAAAATATATCAGTTTCTCGCGTATGTGAACCTCGCCACCCACGCTCCAGACGCGCATGCGTGATTCTCATGATCACCTCAAGGGGAACGCCACGAAACCGTTTCGTGTCGAGGACCGCTTCGATGAAGGAGCCGTACGCGCCGTCGTTGATGTAGTACATGACGCTTTCCAGGTCACCGGCCTCACTGCGCACCTCCCTCTTGGAGTGTACGTTCGCGGCCAGGGTGAAGGCGGAAGACACAAAGTACATTCCGGGCTCCGAGATGACGTCCACGTCGGGAGAGGGGAAGAACTCGGCCACGCTCGAGTTGATGGCCTCAGCCATCTGCAGGCAGGTATCATAGCACCACCAGTGGTTTATGTTTGCCCCGCGGACCACAAACTCCGCCCCTCCGCCCGCAGACCACCATGTATACCAAGACCTCCTGGGAGTGTCACTAGCGAGGCGTACCTTGCGGAAGACGGGCTCGGCCTCGGGGTCACCCGGGTAGCCGCCGCCGACGTCGAGGAGCCTCATGCCCCGGATGTCAAGACCCTCGGCGACGTCGAAGACATGCCTGGCGGCGCGCACCGCCCTGCGGTAGACGTGCTCCTCCCTGCAGCCCGAGCCGACGTGGAAGCTCACGCCCACCACTTGCAGCCCCAGGTCGCGCGCCGTGCGCAGCAGCCGCGGCGCGTCCCTCTCCGCGTCGCAGCCGTACTTGATGCCCAGGCAGTAGGTGGCGTCGTCCGCGTCGCAGCGGATGCGCAGCACCAGCCGGCACTTGGGGTGAAGCGCGCGCATCTTGTACAGCTCCTCCTCGTTGTCGAACGTGGCCAGGTTGATGCCGCGGCCCGCCGCGAAGCGGATGTGCGTCGCGGGCTTGGCCGGCTGCGCGAAGATGATCCTGCTCGGGTCCACGCCCAGGCTCAGCACCTCCTCGATCTCGCCCTGCGGAGCCCAAGTGGGAGGGTGCGACAAGCGCGACGAGTACGGTCCCTGTCCTCCTGTGAGCCGCCTTTCGAGGTCCTCACCTTGGACGCGCAGTCGAAGCCCGCCCCGAGCGCGGCCAGCGTGTTGAGGACGACGCGGCTGGCGTTGCACTTGACGGCGTAGTGCGGGCGGACGCGCGGCAGCAGCTGGCGCCACAGCTCCATCTTGTGCACCACGTCGTCCACGTTGCACAGGTAGAAGGCGTCCTCCTGGCCCGTGGCGTGGCACACGGACCGCAGCTCGTCCAGCGGCGACAGTTTCGGCCCCAGCACGTGCACGTAGTCCTCCGGTTGCAGCATGCTGCGGGAGAGACTGCGCTGTTCGGTCGACTCTCGGTCGATTATGTCCGATAGTCGATTGGCAATATCATGTTAGTGGAATTAAGATGTGTGGCCCACCATACTCACTATTCCTCCAGGGAACAACCACGTCGATGCTGCATCGAGCAAACGTGGGTAGGAGCGTAAAATCCGCGCAGATGCTAGACTTGCCGTAGAGCGCATCGTGTAGGCCGATTCAATACTGGCGTGGACCGTGGATACTGCCACCGATGAGTGGTCCACCTCCTAGCTACGTTGGTAATGGGTGGATGAATCAATCTGGATGTAAAATTTTAATA